CCAGCCTCTCGGATAATCTGCTCTGCATATAGGTTGAAAAGGTATGGAGATAGGACACATCCCTGGCCCACACCCTTCCCAATTTTGAACCATTCAGTGTTGCCCTGCTTTGTTCTGACGACTGCCTCTTGGTCCAAGTATAGGTTTTGCATTAGCACGATTACATGGTCTGGGATTCCCATTCTTCTCAGTGTCAGCCACAGTTTGTTATGATCCACGCAGTCAAATGCCTTTGCATAATCAATGGAACAGATGTTTTTCTCCAGCACCACAACTCAAAGGCATGGATTCTTCTTCTGTCATCTTTAGTCATTGTCCAGCTCTCAGACACATAGCAAACAATTGAGAAGACCACGGATCAAGCACCTTAGTCTCTAGACTGACATTTTGGCTCTCTTAAAAAGTCCTTGTGAGCATACTTTCCTAAAGCAATTCATCTTTTGATTTCTTGACTGTTGGAGACAAGAGTATTGATTGTGGATCCAAGTAAGATGAAATCGTTAGCAACCTCAATCTTTTCTTCATCTATCATGAACCTGCCTATTGAGAATCTTCGTTTTCTTGAAGTTGAAATGCAATCATATTGAAGACTGCAGTCCTTGACCTTCTGCAGCAAATGTCTCAGGTCCTCCTTAGTTTTGGCAAGCAAGGTTTTTTCATCTGCATAATGCAGGTTGTTGATTAGTCTTTCTCCAATTGTGATGCCATATTCCTCCTCATATAGTCCAGCCTCCTAAATAATCTCTTCTGTATATAGGATGAAAAGATATGGAGAAAGAAAGCATTCCTGATGAACTGCTTTCTTGATTTTGAACCATGCGGTCTTCCCTTGCTCTGTTCAGATAACAGCTACCTGGTTTAAGTATAGGTTTCACTTGAGAACAATCAAGTGTTCTGGGATTCCCGTTCTTTTCAGTGTTAGCCGTACTTTGTTGTGATCCACACTGTCAAATGCCTTTACATAGCCAATAAAGCACAATTAGACATTCTTCTGATATTCTCTGCCTTCAACCAAGAGATTCATCAGACATTGGCAATGATATTCTCAGTGCAATAGCCACACTTGTATTTCTAGCACTTCTCAGTCAGCGTACAGTTCTGGTCATTTTATATAATCTTCAGCAAGACTTGCTTGCATGTGACATTTTTTTATATTATTCAGTATCCCACACTGTATTGAATAACCTTTTTCTGGGAATGGAAGTAAATGTAGATCTCTTCCAGTCAGTTGACTAGGTAGCTGTCCTCCAGATTTCTCGGTACAACCTGGTGAGAACATCCAGGGCTGCACCTGTTTGTTGAAATATGTCTATTCCTGGGGCTTATTTTTTGCCAGTTCCTTCAGAACAGCTTGAACTTCCTCCGTCATTACTATTACTTCTTGATCATATGCTGTTTCATGGAATTGTTCTATGTCAGCTAATTATTTTTGGTAGAGTGACACGTTGTATGCCTTCCTTTAT